ATATGTATCTCTCTGTATCTGTGTATCTGTGTCTATGTATATTAAGAGAGGCTAGAACAATGTTAATAAAACGATATTAGCCAGGTTATCTGGCTGTTAGGGTTATTCTTTGTGTTTTGTTTTCCTTATTATTATCTGATTTTATATGGTAATTTTGTAATTTTTTTTAAAGTTGAAAAAAAATGGATCTGCCTTATGATCCAGCAATTTCACTCTTAGGTATCTATTCAAGGAACACAAAAACAGTAATTAGAAAGAAACATGTTAATTGCAGCACTATTTTCAATAGCTAAAATACGGAAACAATCTAAATTTACAAAAACAGATGAGTGGATCAAAAAGATGTGGTATTTATATGTGTTGGAACACTACTCTGATTAAAAAAGGGCAAACTCATGTCATTTACAGCAACATGGATGGAGCTGGAAGGGATTCTGATAAGCGAAATAAGTCAGAAAGAGAAAGACAAATACCGGATGGTGTCACTTATAAGTGGATTATAGAGAATGTAATCAAAGGAACAGATAAAGCCAAACTTAACAATTAAACCAGGAAAACTGATTATAGAACTGATGAATCCAGGAAAGGAAATGAGGGGCAAGGGTGAGGGCCAAGATGGGGAGGGAACACAATGGACTCTATATATTTTTGTTTTGGTGGTGGAAGATGTATGGTAATAACACTTGAAGAGGGTTGGGGTAGACCTATAATCCCAAAATACAAACCACTATGCAAACCAAAATAAACTCAATTTTAAGCAAAAAGAAAATAAATAAATAAATTTTATATGGAAAGGCAAAATAATTTAATTAGCTAAAATAATTTTGAAGAAGAAACAATATAAAGCTATCATCATCAAAATACTTTGGCATTGGTGAAGGAACAGACAAATTAATCAATGGAACAAAATAGAGTCCGGAAATAAATATACATAAATATAATCAATTGACTTTTGACAAGTGGTAAAGGCATCTCAATGGAGGGAAAAGTTTTTATTAAAAAAAAGAAAAAGGGGCCTCCCCGGTGGCGCAGTGGTTGAGCACTGGGTTGTGAAGCTGCTCTCAGCCTCTGCAGCACTGGTTTGATCCCTGGCCACTGGGAGAGGGTCCCACATGGCACACAGACCTTTCCTGCCGCCCGCTGCTCCCCTCAGCAGTGTACTTTGTCAGTCTGCCTGCTCTGTTCCCCGCTCTGGCTCTGGTGAATTCTTTCACCCTCCCGCGCTTCTGACTGTACCCAGTGCTTGTATAAATAAATAAATAAATCTTTAAAAAGAAAAAGACGTTGGAACACCATACATCAATATTTGCAAAATGGAATTTGATCGACACCCCATAAGGAGAAATTTGGCTAGTTCCTATGCATATGAAAATCTCAAACAAATTGTAATAATTACTTTCAGTTTAAAGCATAATGTGAAAATCAGAGGCTATATGGAATTTATAATAAAGAGTATTCTATATTTTCTTATTATTTATACATGGTGCTACACACACTTTATATGGTAACGTTAATAGTAAACTTATGTATGTATATACACGTAATGCATTTTTTCCCTCTATGAGCGAATTGTTAAACATGGCCACACCATAATTTCTTCCTCTTTTTTCTCACAGGAGCTTCCCCAAATAAATCTTACTCTCGTCTAATTTTGCCTTGCCCTTTGCTTCTTAGAGGACCTTAATTAACACATTTGGAGTGATGCATTTATTCTAGGGTCAGAATTTAGGAATGTGGAGTTTATGGCATATATTTCAGTTTTTATAGTAGCCATCTCATTATTTATTGCCAGATTGTGATGGATTAAGGGTGCCATCTATCCAAGTTCCTCATAAATCCTGTTTTATGAATACTTATATTGTTTGCTGGTACGTTTGGTCAATGACTTTCATCACAGTGTTATTTCCATTTATCTTTAGGGTCTCAGTAAATTGGTGAATAAAAGGACATATATGGATCTTTTCTTTTGTAGTAAGAAAAATCAATATGAGGAAGATAATGCTTAAAAATTAGTATACAGATCCAGATACAGTAGAGAAGCAAAAAAACAGCAGTAAAATGTTGAAGAGAACATTTTTCCTTAAGTTTAGAAAGACTAACCCTGCTTTTCAAATGTAGACCAAAATATGTTTGTGATTTGTTATTTCAGATTCATTAGATTTGTCAAGGAGCTAGAGATAATATCTAAGAATATAAATTCCCCTTGAGAAGTAGTCTGACCATATGTGTGAGATTCATTAACAAGATTCATAATGTCCTTATTGGGAAACAGTGAAGATCAACTGGGCACATAATTAGTTTTACTTCTTGTGTGGTAGGCACTCAATAAATGTGTCAGTTTGGATCCTTCCATAAATAAGTGTGGAGGACACATACACGAAAAAATAAATGAGGAGGGCCCTGGAATGTTAATGGAGGGACTTCAGACTTCACACTGTGTGGTACCTGTGAAAGGAGAGAGGGAAGGAAGAAATGATTGGGGAAGAAGAGCCCCACACCACAGTACAGTTCTGGGAAAACCTAAGACTGTACTGCTGTGGAGTCCCTGAGGAAAGGTCACCAACCAGGGGAGCCCTCTTAGGGGCAGGGAGGAGGAGGACTTTCCCAGAATGGTTACCCCTGCCACTCTCGGTCATTGATTGGAGCAGTCAGTTCAATGATAAATGTGGTGGCAGCTCAAAGGCAGTGGCTGATTCAAAAAGGTTGGGGCAGCTGTGCTCATCCTCATTGCCTGGAATCATGAAGGAGCTGAGTAAAGCACTTTTGTGGCTACCACATGCAGAGACGGATAGTAAAATAATAATCCCTGACATTACGGAATTTATCGTTTACTGAATTCACCTCCACCTTTCAGATCTCAGTACTCCAATTGTACTCTATGCACTTTAACTTTTTTAAAGGCAAAACAGACTTATTTGCAAATCAGGGAGTTTTACTACTGTACTTGCCCTGTCCCTAACTTTTCTCAAATTGCCTTAATTAGTTATTTGCAGTTTTTAATTTTTTCAGTTAATCCCATCTCCGTTGTGTTGCTTCTTCCTGGTCAGACTCAGCCGGAGTAAGGGGTTTTTCAGTTTGGAGGCCACCCACTTTGCCTTGTGATCACACCTCCAAGGTCTTTACCAGAGACTTCAGTTACCAGGGTAAATGGATTCTTTGCAGCTCTGCCACATTCTGGTCACTCAGTAACTTCAGGCCTGTGTTAACAAACACGCCCTTGGCAAACACCTGTTTTCCCTCAGCCCAGCTTTGGCAAGAGTGCTTTCTGCTTAACCGCACAGCATTATTGGCTTTGTTTTCCTATCAGCAAAGGCATTAGTGGAAAGTTTTAGAGCTTGTCTTTTAGTGTTCACTTAGAACATTTCTTCATTGCACAGCAGCTTGCATTTGCCTTTTTTTAACAAAGGGTAAGCAAAAAAAGGGTGTGAGTATTGTGTGTGTGTATGTTTGTTGGGGGTATGCACTTGTGTATAGTGTAGTTTGAGGAGGCAGAGTCCATGGAACAGTAAAAGGTCCATGTAAGTCTGTACTGCTCAGCAAGCGTATACTGGAGGACCATTATTCTGTTAGGACAGCATTTCAACCTGGTCAGATCAGTAGGATTTAAACAAACACTCTGATATTCTGGTTTTGGTTTGAAAAAATCTATATTCTTTTGAGGAGCCTGGTACATCTAGGATATATATGGATTTTTTTTTTTTTAGCAAAAAATATTAACAGCTAGCCTGGCTGGGTGGGTCTCGTTTTAGGACCATAGAACCCAGACAGCCCTGGAGGTTTGAGCTGGCCCATCTGCTCCAAAGGCAGAGCACATGTGAAGGCAGTTGCTGGCTCTTTATTTGAAAGCAAAGCTGACACAAGTGGCACATGTCTTTTCACATAAGTAAATGTTTCTTTCCCAGCAGATTCCTCCAGCTGGATTAACACTTGTCAGAGTGGGGGAGATCACATTATTCTTGCCTCCAGAATCTTAATGTTTCATCTTAGATGGGATCTTTCACACTTACACGTATCTGTGGATTGAACCCTTACATTTAGTATAACTTCATGTGCTGGGGACTTAACAACTGGGATGGGGAAGAGACTTTTTTCAGTTCATCAAGATATAAATGTCCTTTTTTATTTATGTGTGTGTGTGTGTGTGTGTGTGTGTGTATATATATATACTTACTTATATCTATAAGTCATTGATTCGCAATCAGAGCCAACTCTGCCCTCCAGGAGGTATTTGGCAATGTCAAGAGATATTTTTGGTTATCACATTGTGGGAGGGTAGTGCTCCTGGTCTCCCTTAATGTTTAGAGAGATGCTGTTAAGCATTTTGCAAAGAACAGAACAATCCCCACAGCTGATAATAATGTCATAAATGTCAACAATGTTGAAGTTGAAAAAACCCTGATGGGGGCAAGACTGACTGACTAGAAGTATTATCATGTTTTTTATTTTCTGCAATTTATGATTTGCCATCTTACAAACCTTGCTGGCCTGGGAAAGACTATCCTTCTTAGAGCTATTTTTTTCCTAGAGATGCTGAGGAGAATTTCAGCTAATACTGAGTCTGTGGCTCCAGCAACATCTTTATCTAACTCTCACACATGAATCCATATTTGCCTGCCCTAAATCATCCCAGGGTCAAGTACCAAACAACTAGAGATCAAATATATAGCCAATGCCCCCTGCAATTGATTCAAACTGGACAAATCTGAGCTGTCTCCTGCCTTGCTTTTCCCTTGGAAACCACAATAAAGGCTCTGGCTTGGACTTCCCCTCTATCTACTGCCACCTTATGAAATCCTAGTGCCACCCCTACCCACCCCCAGACCAAGGAATGTAATAAACTTCTTTCAACCTCTTGCTTCTTCTTGGGGCTGCAATGGTTTTAACATATCATATCCACTCTTAAGCATTCTTGAAAATAATTCAATCCCTCCATCTTTACATTTGGCATATTTTGGGGGAAAACCACTTAAAAAATATTAGTAGAGAAACAATCTACATACTTCCTCAAGGCACTCCTTCCCTGACGATCTTCCTCTAGTTCCCGGTAGCAAGTCTGCTTGCTAATTTCTTTTTCCCAGAAGCTTTTGAGCTCATGACAAGTTTCACAGCAGAAGACTTCCCGGCGAATATATTGATTATTCATCCCCTGCAAATTAAAAGAAAAAACAAATCCTAGAACCTCAAATAAAACCACTCTAAGATTGGAGTGATAACAGATGAGTGTGAATCCAGACATGGGCCATTTATACTTCTTGTGACTGGAGACAAACCAGTTACCATAAGTCTTTTTCCCCAACTGTAAATGCAGATAAAAATGATTATGTCAGCAAATAGTGAAAAATTTTGAAATGAGCAAATATAAAAAAGGTATCAGATGATCAAAGTCTACTTCTTTCATTGTCTTTGAGCAGTTTTTCAACTCTGTAAATTATAGAAGAATGCTGGCAATGCAAATGACTCTTGAAGCTAGACATTCAAATAAACTTTGTACAGTGGAATGCAATTGTAATCTCTGTGAATATCAAACAATTTTTCATCTACTTATAATTTCATGTCAGTATTTTTGTTTGCCTCTTTATGTGTGTGTTTTGAATTCTCCTTAGAAAAAACTGTAATACTAGTTTTCTCAGTTATAAGTTAAATAATATATCTCACATAGATCCCTTTTGTATTTGTATGAAAGTCATAGTTTTAACTTTCCTAACTTATAAAAAATTATACTTTAATTTAGATCACAGTGGGGTGTGTGTGCATAAAATGTGATGGTATATGCAAAATCTCTAAACACAATGGGTGACAGATAGATGAACAACAAATATATTCTTGCCTCTTTCCTCATAGAATAACAGCAACCATTAATTGAACACATACACATTTTATCATTTTATATACAGTGACATTTGATCTTCATTACAACCCCATGAAATAGGTGGCCATGCACTCATTATTCAAATGAGCAAACAGAGATAGGAATTGTCTATCATCTCATAACAAATATGGAAGAATGGAAACTTTACCTTGGTCAGTGCATCTTCCAAGTGGATGGTCTCTTTTCTACAGAACCTCATCACACAATAACTTAATTATATTTGTAAATGGTTATGTCCAGAGCAAGTTCTGGCTGTATGTCTGTGTCCCATGAAAGTACACATTTAATATTAAAAAACATCTACTTTTCACTTGAACATCACCCACCGTCCAGATCTTAGTGGCTGTGGTAGGCATATAAGTGCAAAGGACTGTGAAATAGGTCTCTTTATGACTTCTGCTGAGTGCCTGCTTAGAGAAGAGCTTTGCCCCTATCTGGTGATTGGAATAAAACTTAGACCTTCACTCCCTGGCCACAAAGTCTCAGTGATTCTGTGCAGGCTGGGTTTCCAGGGAAGAGCCTGAGGGCAAGGGGATAGAACAGGAGTTTAGAAAAGGATTAAAGTAATAAATTACATTATCTACATATTTATCTTATAGGAAAACTATTCTATGCTGTACAATTACAATATTTTATTATATAGGATAACAGAATATAGATGTATAATATAGAATGATTTATAATATACAATGTTTTATATTTTAGATCTATTATGTTAATAATAGACTCTGGCACCTGTATCAGAGAGGTGGAAAAATCTTTTCTTGGAAGGGAAAGTGTAGGGTATATGTAAATATCCTGCAGTGAGAAGAAATTTGGCTTTCTAGAGGTGCCCTCTGACTCCAAGAGTCAGGGAAACCTATCAGCATCAGCTTCAAGGGAATAAATAGATTTTATCTTATATGTTACGGGGGTTTTGTATCTCAGCTTCCTCATTTCCATATATACAGCAAAATGTGATTGTTCTTTAAACAAATGATAAATGAGCAGTTTTATCACCCTGCACCCATGTAGCAAAAACATTTTTTAATTAGACTTTTTATCCATTTGCAGTAAATTCTATTTACAAAAAGTCATTGCCAGTTTTGAACCAATCATAAATCTAATAGTAATTCTTAAATTTACTTCACTAATTAGCTTACACTTAAAGAGTACTAGAGCTACTGCTCAAATAAATATAACTTAATCAAATAATGTTTATTATACCTTGACTTTGTGTGAGGTTCATGCACTTAACCTCTATCTAATGAGGATCTAGATAATGGCATTTGTATAAACTAAAACAAAAGAAAATTCTATAGTTTATTCCCCAGTCCCAGGTTACTCTGTGAAGTAAAATCCAAAATTAACAGTTCATCCTGATCATCAGCTTTCTGAGAAGGCTCCATGGTTCTGTGACATATAATGAATGTATCCTTGGGATAAATTATCAGTCAATATGAAATATGATTTGTATTTGATTTAATCTTAAAGTTTCCTCAGTGAGATCAACACTGGTTTCTGGTCTTTTCACACTCTTTAACCTGAAAATCATGTGCCACTGACATGTAGAAATCAGAGATGGAAAAAAATCTATTGGCCTTTTCAAGTGGCTAACAAGGGACACCTGTATATTAAGTTGCGTGTCTCAATTCCCAGTCCCAGATGTGAGTTGTCCCCACTCCTGACTATACAAGCTCAACACACTGTACCTTAAAGATGAATTTTCAGGATTGGTATCTTGCTGGGATGCAAAGGAGTTAAGTCTCACAGCACCCACTGCTGACTCCTCAGCTCTGACTTGTGAAGACCACGGGCGCAGTCCTGAAATCTCATTGCTGTATCCTCTATATACCAAGTGGAGGAGTTACAGATATCCCTCAGCCTTTCAAGGTCATTTGTGCCAAATTAGTAGCAGAATCAGACAATATCTTTCCAGGGACATTGTAGCCTTCCCTCCTGGTGAGAGATGGTTCTAAACAAATCCCATCTCTCTAGGCTCCACCTGCCCCAGGGCACCAAGTTTCTGTTTTGGCAGGTCCCCTGAGGCTTTGACTTGGCCTGAACCAAGAGAGATGGTTTTGAACTTGTACTGAATTACCCATGTGCCCTGCTCCTCTGAGACTTGTGAAAAGCCACCCTATGCTCCTCAGTGTGCAAAAAGGTCTGGAATGGTGGGACAAAGAGTGGATCTTGGGTGTAACATTACAGGAAGACTTAGCGAGGCATCTTGTTCTTGGAGCCATTAATCCTCAAATCAAATCTGGTGATGACATTCATGGTCTGCTGAGTTCTCTCCCAGTTGGAGCAAGAATTGACCCCTTGTAAGTGTTTTCCAATAAAACACAGCCAAATGAGATAGACTTCCCATTTTAGAGTGGCTCTCATCCCATTTTGGAGGAGCACATTTTGTCCTTAGGAAAAACATTTAGAACACTCACTCATCTGATAATAAAAATAGCTATGGTTTTCATTAAATACTTCTACTATACTACTAATTGCATGTACATTATTTGGTCCACAGGGCTCTCAATTTATTTATTTACTTATTTAGCATTTATTTTATTATTGAGGTCCAGTGGGTTATCACTTTATTTATTTATTTCACTATTATTTTATTATTTAGATAATATTGGTTTGTAGCACTGTATGTGATTCAGGTGAATAGATTCACATCTCCTCAGATGTACATCACCATGTTGCACCCACAGGCACCCATATCCCGTCACCATTGGACTGCCTCCCCACTTTTTTTCCACCTCTACTTTCCCCCTCAATTAGCTTCATATCTGTAGTAATATTTCTAGGCTTTCTTTTGGTTAATTTTCTCAGTTTCTTTGTTTTGTTTCTCTATAGTCTACATATGAGTGAAGTCAACTACTATTTGTCTTTCTTCCTCTGACTTATTTCACTTAGCATAATACCTTTCAATTCCATTTATTTTCTTGCAATATCTTCTTAATCCAAACAACTGTCATTGAACTCTTAGGTAGTTTCTATATCTTGGCTATTGTAAATATCCCCACAATGAAAACAGGAGTGCATGTGTTTTCATTGTGTTTTTGCATTCTTCAGTTAAATGCCTGGAAAGGAATTGCTGAATCATATGGTAGATCTGTTTTTTAACATTTGAGCAATCTCCATAACCATTTTCCCTAGGGTTGGAAAGTAGACATTCCCAACAACAGAGTGCAAAGATTTCTTTTTCTCTAAAACCTCCCCACAATTTGTTTTTTCTTGTTTTGCTTTTCTTCTTGATATGGTCCATTCTCATAGGTGTGAGCTGGTATCTCATTGTGGTTTTGCTTTGCATCTTCCTAATAATAAGGGATATTGAACATTTTTTCATGTGCCTGATGGTCATTTGGATGTCTTCTTTGGAGAAATGTTTATTTAGCTCTCTGCCATTTTTTTACTGGGTTCTTTTATTTTTATTATAGTGTATGATTTCTTTGTAGATCTTATATATTAGCTCCTGGTCAGATTATGATATGCAATTTCTCCCATTCTGTGGGAGAAATTCATTTTAATGATAGTTTCTTTCACTGTGTAGTAGCTTTCTATTTGATGTAGTAATATTTATTTGTACTTTTCTTTTTTCTTCCTGTTGGCATCCCCAAAGACATCACTCAAGCCAATATTGTGGAATGTTTTGCCTATGTTTTCCTCCATGTATTTTAGAGATTCTGGTCATATATCCAAATCTTAAATCCATTATGACTTGATTTTTGTTTTGGTGTGCTAGTGTGTGTGTTCTAGTTTCATTTTTCTGCATATGGCTGACCAGTTTCCCCACACCATCTGTTGAAAAGACTTTGTTTCTCCATTGTATATTCTTGACTCCTTTGTCATAAATTAGCTATCCATATAAATGTGAGATTGTTAATAAAACAGAACTTTCTGTTTTATTCCACTGGCCCCTGTGTCTGTTTTTATTGCAGTATCATACTGGTTTGATTATTGTGGTCTTATATGTAATTTGAAGACTGAGAATGTAATAGCTCCATTCCCTATCTTTTTGACAAAATTGTTTTATCTATATAGGGTCTTTGTTGTTCCATATAAATTTCTATAATGTTTCTTCTGTTTCCTTGAAAAACTGTTGGAATTTTTTATAGAGTTTATATTAAATCTGTAAATTGCTTTGGATAAGATGGACATTTTGACTATTCTAATTTTTCCAGTTCATGGAGGCGACCCTCAAAAACAATGAGTGAAATAAAATGGCTGTTTTAAGCCACTAAGTTTGAGGATAATTTGTTAGATAACAAAAATAGCCAGAACAAAATGATTTCAGATTTATCTTTACTTCTAACTATTCATACTGCTTAGAAGCTAAGAAGGTTCTGGTCACTTTCAAGAAAAGAGAATCTTTTCTGACACACTTGACTTGTGCTCTCGAATACACTGATGATCCTAGATATTGCTAACACCTAATGGCCCTGACAAGCAGTCACATTACCTAATCAGAGGAAATTATTGAAATTCTTCTAAGAGAGATTGCTATATACACTTTGATCAACTACAGGAGGGAATGAGATGCAAGTAGGACAGTGTGACATTAAAGTCCATGTTCAAGTAGTAATAAGTAGTTGGTAAGCTTCTTTCTAAGGTAGAGGTTCTATTCACTGTAGCTTAGCACCTAGCTGAGTAGAGATGAAAGTTTACAAAAAGAACTGAATCATACACCAAGTAGAGGAAATTGGGCCTTACCTGGAAAAAATGGAAAAGAGAACACCTTCTTTACTGAGTAATGAAAATAAGAAATTTGAAGAACAGAGTTATTTAACAATGCTTTTTGGTTTTTGTTGTTGTTTGCTGTTTATTTTTTTTAAATGAAGTACCATTGTTTTATATCTTCGATAATTTTTTAAGAATAGGATTTCTCCCCTCAGGTGTGATCACCAGAACCCTCCCATCACCAAAAGCACACATAGTCCTCCCCCACAGTTCATTGTTCTCCCCCTGCATTCTTACTTCTCCCTCTTTCCCTCCCCTTTCCCTTCTGGATGCCTCAGAGGTATGGTCAGATTTTTTTTTAAAGGTTTATTTATTTAGGCATACAAGAGCTGGGGTGCAGGCCAGAGATGTGGGCGGTGAGAGGATTCACAAGAGACAGAGTGGGAAGAGAACAGGCAGACTGGCTGAAATAAACTGCTGAGGGGAGCAGCGGGTGAGACAGAAGAGGTCTGCCTCGCCATGTGGGTTACTTCCTGGCAGGCCAGAGATCAAACTCATACTGCAGAGGTTGCGGATTTCTTCACAGTACAGTGCTTTAACCCCTTGCGCCACCACAGAGGCCCCCATAAGTACAGTCAGCTTTCAAGGATTGGTTTTAAAGTTTTCCAAATATTGTTCAAAAATTGATTTTGATCAATGAATCTTATATAAATATGATAGCATAATGATTATGGTTCTTTTAAGGTGTTGGTATTATGATTTAATTTCTATGAAGTTAATGAAATCATATGAATGAATCGTATGAGTGAATACATCTAATCCTCCAAAAGGAATTCAAGTTGTAAGAATCAAGAAGATAAGTAACCCTGTCTCTCTGCTGCTTGGAATCATGTCATTTTAAAATCATATGCTATCAATTCTTAAAAAGATGAAATTTTGGCATTTGTGACAACCTAGAAAGAACTAAAGAGTTATACTGAGTGATATAATCAGGGAAATGCTAATCAAAACTACAATGAGATACCATCTTACACCAGTGAGAATGGCACATATTAAAAAAAAAATATAGCAACAACAAATGTTGGTGAGGTAGTGGAGGAAAAGGAACTCTCCTGCACTGCTGGTGGGAGTGCAAACTGGTCTAACCACTATGGAGAGCTGTGTGGAGATTCCTCAACCTGCTAAAGATGAGCTTCCATATGATGCAGCAATTCCACTCCTATGTATTTACCCAAAGGACACAGAAACATTAATTCCAAAGGGCACCTGCACCCCTATGTTTATAGCAGCACTATTTACAATAGCTAAGCTATGGAAACAACCCAAATGCCCAAAATAGATGACTGGATCAAGAAGATGTGGTAATATACACCATGGAATATTACTCAGCAATCGAAAAAGATAAACACATGCAATTTGCAGCAACATGGATGGAGCTAGAAGGGACCATGGTCAGCAAAATAAGTCAGAAAGAAAAAGAAAAATACCAGATGGTCTCACTCATAGCAGGAATTTAGAAAACCTAAATAAGGGACCAGGAAAAAGTCTAATCAATACAAAGTAAAAATCAAAATCAACAAGCAACTATAAACCAGAGACACACTATGGGGTGGGGGGGAGAGGTGGGGAGAGGAAGGACTAGAGTCAAAATAAGGAGGGGTGCAATTGTATGGGGAATATAATCATAATGAAAATGCATGCATTGTGCAAAGATGACAAATGATGTAAGAATTATATAAAATAAAATATTTAAAAAAATAAAAGTTTGATAAAATTCAATTAAAAAAAAAGTTATACTAAGTGAAATAAGCCAGAAAATGAAAGACAAATACCAGATGATTTCACTTGAATGTGGATGTTTTGGTGGTGGGTGTAGTGTTGTAACTGACATATGAAGAGGTATGAATCTATACCCAAAATTCTATACAATTTTGTAAATCATTGTTCCCTCAATAAAATAATACAAAAAGATAAAATCACATGCCCTCTGTAAAATTTCTGGAAAAGGAAATATATAATTTTTATTTAATAAAGTAATGGTAGTTTCTCTCAAATTTTGTACAATTATGGTACATTATTTCCTACTTCTCAGAAATTTTACTTTTTATTTCAAATGATTA